TGTAGGTGCTGAAAGTTTCTGAAAATTAAAGCAAAAATTGTGGAAGTGAAATCCATCTGTGAATATTAAACGCCAAAGACCCACTCTGTTCTGACTCAGGAATTTTCCAAACTGTGTGTGCATTACTGGAGGCTGGAGACATGCTGCTACATGCTTTTCTATTTCTTATCATCTTCTCTACATTCTTCTCCTGCCTGTTGCCAGAAGCAGAATATTGAGCTAAATGGCCTTTAGAATTGAAGTTATGTGGCTGCTCTTATATGTCTATGTTATCCTAAATTTGACACATTTTAGGAAAGAAGCTATGTATGAAGTAGTTTTACACTTAGGTCCAGTAGTTTTTACTGTGGCTTTATTTAGATCTAAAATTTGCCTCTGGCTCATCAGAAATAAATGCAACCCTAGGCTGTGGTGTGTTCAGTTCTTGCAGTGGAAGTGTTGCAGTGTTGCCAGCAGTGGATGTCAGGTCTAAAGTTGGGAGGCAAGTGCCGTGTTGTGTGGATGTCACAGATAGGCAGGTCAGGCCCTCATCCAGTGATGTGTTGTTGATTGATTGGGGTGGAGGAAGAAGAGGTTCAGTCAGCATCTAGGATCCTTCTGAGTTCTCTCTTAGATGATCAGTTGAGAATGTTTATTGAGGCTTCTGTGCAGTGGATGGTGATCTAAGACCATGCACTTAACGCCCATGCAAGGGGCTGGCAGCCTCTAGGATGGAGAAACCCATATGGTTGGGAGGCTGTGGCCTTTCTAGATGGAAATTTGGATCGGTTAAGCAGACTCGCTCCAGTTTCCACCTTGCCCACTGCTTTGCATGCTCAGTTGCTCACTTTATAGCACAAAAGTCATGGGGGTGAGTTCAGGGCTTTGTCTCACTGCATGGCTGTGCTGCTGTCAGGATGGAGCCAGCTCCCCAGCTTTTCCTCTGCAGGAATCTTCCCATTTACATGCCGCAGAAATAACTCCTGTGAATTTAATTAATCACAGTTTACATGGTAATAACCCTTGGAATATTTTTTATGGGTAAATAATGTGTATCGAATATTTTTTATGGGTAAATAATGTGTATCCCCTGCTGGAGTGGGGGTTCTGCAGGTTCCAACATTCAATTATTTCATAATCTACTTCCCATTAAATGATCAGAGAGCGAGACCAGAGGAAACTAACAGCAGTGGGAATAATTAGCAGCTGCCTTGTGTTTGGGGCATGGACGTACTCTCTTAATGCTCATTAAAAAGTCCTTACAGTTAAGGAGAATGCAGGGGTTTTGGTGCTGCCAAGAAGTGCCACAGAGTTTCTGGTTGGCAACGTGGTGCTATGCATAGGGACCTGGCTAGTTCTTACTCGCAAGGAGCCTTATTCCCAGAGGAGCTCCATGCAGTGAGGCTGCTCAGCCCCTGGTACCTGCCCCTTTCCTCGCTGCGCGTCTGCTACGACCTGTGTGGGAGGGGGCTGCGAATGCCGGCTGGCAAGACTGTTCAGTCTCTTCTGTCGGGCAGGCTCAGAGCAGCTTCAGACCGTCCCAAATCTATCAGTTTCTTGTGAGATGGTGAGAAGTGTCATTGTCACCAGCGCCTCTGACTGAAGAGAAGGTGAGCAGGCTTGCCCAGGGCTGCACAGTGTGTTTGCAGCAGAGCGGAGTCGGGCAGAGTCAGGACCTCGAGTCTGCTGCTGGGAGGGACCATCCCCATGCTCTGCTGCAGCTGGGCAGGCCCTTCTGCTGAACAGTGGTCCAGAGCCATCCTGCCAGCAGAGCAGGCCTGGTTGATGGCTTCTGGAGAGGTGACATGCCAGCCAGGCTGGCAGCCTCACAGTCACAGCACATGGGGGGAGAGCTACACTCAAGTGAGTGGTGTCTTGCTGGGAAGTGCTTGCTCAGAAGCCCACTCCTCTTCCTGCACTGTGATTATCCTAAGCACCGGTGTATTTTTTCACTTTATGTTTCCTCTTTCTTCCTTGCCTTTGCTACTTTTGCTTTTATTTAATGTTGTATTCTTTGTTGTAATTACTACTTTAATCTGTAATGTTGCCGCCTGCCCCAGCTTCTGGCCACCTTTGAGGCCAGTGCTGGTAACAAGTCAGGGTGCCTCTCAACAGCAAGGTTCTTGCTGAAATAGCTCCCTAAATAAATAAAAAGCAAATTGAATATTGGAAAAGAACTTTAAATAACCTCTGAATTCCTCGGGAACTACATCTTACATCTCTGTTAGGGACAAATGGGTTCAACATAAGTAATGATCCTCTGGAATGACAAATAAACATCATTCATCAGCCTCTGTGGGCTGGAATGAGGATAGACTTTGGTGATAAATAAAAGCAAAGATGTCCCTGGGTGGCAGATGAGAGCAAAGGAATTAAATATCATTGGACTATAAACACACAATTTCTGAAATGCTCCACAGCTTGCCTCCAGATAGCTGCTTTGGATATGATGGGTCTAACTTTTTCCTCTTGTGCCATGGGAAGAGGCTAAAGGCCCTTTACTGCAACAGCACTCCTGGCACACCATGACCTCCGCAGATGGAGCAGCACCTTTCAAATGCAGCCTCATTGTGCTGAATTCTAGCTCTTTAATGAAACATAACTAGTTGAAATTCTCTCAATTACTTTCTGTTTTTTCCCCATACTGATGTAACACTAAACCCCTCCTTGTTCCCACTTCAGGTGATCCATTGATGTTTGTATTTTGATTGCTGTCTCCCTGTTGTTTGATACTTGCCCCTTTTCCACAACTGCTTCAGGAGTTTATGACTGGACAAGCCCCTTTTGGTTCTCAGAAACATATTCCTGTCACTGGGTGGACCAACTGCTTTGTCTCTGGATGCTTTGCTTCCTGAGCTACAAAGTTCTCTACCTCAATAGGACGGTGCCAGTGTTTTGATTCTGTGACTGTGATCGAGCCGGGAGCTCACTGTGGTGTGAGTGTGATGGGTGTGCTCTTGGGGAGTCCCTGTGCGTGTCCTGTCCACTGCATTAGGATGTGAAGGAGGGAGTATGGGTTTGCTACCCTTAATGTCCGTCCAGCTGTTTGCTCCCCTAGATGTACGCAGTGGGTGTAGCTGCTGCCACTGCTGCTCTGCTCTTCTGTCTCCCTTTGCATCTCCTGAGCGCATGTTTGTCCTGAAAGAAAGACTGATTCTTCTTCCTTGAGTCTCAGCTGAAGATGAGTTCTTTTTGTGTCATAGAAAAGGCCCTTCCTTTTGAGAAGCTCTTTATCTTTGTTAAAATGAGGTTCTTGATGCACCTGCTCATGCAAAGCAGCCCCTCATTCCCCGCGCAGGCTGTGCTCGGCTCCTGAGGAGGGCAGCATAGGTTAGCTGATGCTCCTTGCCCGGAGTTCTGCTTTACATTCCAGCCATATCTAAGGCAGAGCTAGTGAAATGTAAAAGAGCACTGAAGGAATTGATAGTAAAACTCTTGGCTCTGTGATGAGTAGAGTAATCCCTACTCTTATTCCTGCAGGAGAATTTGCCTCTCAGCAGCAGATGTGCCGAGAGCACCGCCACTGCCACTGTCTGGGGAAGAGCAGGTGTAGGAAACCCCAGCGCCACCCTCCCTTTAAAAGACTGACTCTACATATCGGATGCCCTTTGTGACTCCAGCATTGTGAACAGGTTGTTGTTACCTGTTGAGCACTGTTGCTGAACTCAGCTCTGTGGAATGTGCACAAAATAACAGAATGAAGACACAGATCCCTTACACCAAGGAGCTTCCACGGTGGTGGGGTATGAAGTAAATTTTTCACTAAGAGGAAGACACTGGGAAATGTAAGGAAGGGATTGTTTAGGTTCAAATCCTGGGACTGCGGAGCCTGACTGTCTTACAGGTGATGAATGAACAGCTTTTTCGTTGAAGCAGAAAACAGGATGGGCTTAAGCACACAAGAAGCCTGGAAAATCACATGCAAATAATTGTGGCATCCAAATTAATACCAGATGAACTAATCAGAATTAATGTTAGTAGGAGTAATGCCACTGGTTATCACAATTATTAGACCATTACAATAATGAGTTTTCTGGGGAGGATGATGACGGGTGATTTATATACTGTACAGGTATTTCTTCTGTGTATCCGCATGATAAGCAACTCTGGTACTTTGCTGCAAGAAGTTGGGACTGCTCCTTATTCCTAAAGTTGCCCAGAATGTAACTCTCTTCTAAGTAGTTTGTTGGCCAAAAAGATCCTGGACAGAAAAGGAGGGAGGACTGAGTAGACAAAAAGGGTACTGGTGTCTCATTCCTGACCTGCTTGAGGAGAGCTGTTGGGAACCTAGCCCTGAGATATTTTCTGGCCTCTCTGGGAAAAATAAGGAGAAGTCTGTCTGGAGGTATGATGCAGGGGCAGTTTTACAAGCACCACTCAGGCGTGGTAAGGTGGTGAAGGTCTCACTGCTGCTCTATCACAAGCTCTGCTTTTCTGCTCTACAAGCTGCTGTTTTCTTCTTTGATTATCAGAAGAAATATATCCAGTGGGATATCTGGTGGTACAGACAACGTGTATGTGTATGTGTACAGTGTTTGGCTACAGAAAGCAGTGGTCTAACAGTGCTAGGAGCCACTGCATGTGTAATAGTGATTGCACAGCAAAATGAAAAGCCTCAGGTGGTAACAAAAGGTAGCTGCAGTTTTCCATGCATGGCATTTCATCCTTCTCCATTTTCTCTGTGACTTTGCTGAGCACTGGCTGTAGTTGTTGCTGTCTAGGATGCACAGTCACTTCTCCACAGATTTTCCACCATCTCTGTAGGCTGGCAAGAAATAAGGTGTTATGGTGATCTTATGCACAACCTATTCTGCCAATGTGTTGTCAAAGTGTTTAGAAGAAGTTTCTTTTTCTCTGGAACTGAAATCAAGGGTAGGGAAGCTGCCTAATAACTTGTTGAGGATGACGAAATGATGCGGCATTTGAAGCTCTCGTGGTAGATATTGAGCTCTTTCATTGATTTGTTGACAGAGTGACCAGGGCAGCAACAGCAGAAATCTTTTCTCTTCTCTCTCCTTTAGAGTTCAGGGTTACCTGGATCGTTTCCAGAGTCCCATTTTGGACTTCAGAAGCTGTGTGGGTACCTACATCCCATCTGTAGCCTCGTGAGTTAAATACACAACTTTCTACCTTTGATGCCCACCTTGGGGAAGGTAACACAATATCATCATTATTCTCAGTTTTATAATCACTTTTAAAAATTTAGTCAAATGTTTAGTAATAAAAATAATGATATTCAATGTAAACCTGAAAAGAATGAAAATAATTTTAGAGCATTTTCAACACTGAATTTTCATTGTGGGTATTTCAGCTGCTTCCCTCTTGGCAAGGTTTGTTCATTTTTTCCTCCTACTATGTGCTTTAAACAGTGAGACCTGGGGTGCTACTAAGTGGGAGAGTGCCACAGGTGCTGAGCAAGCCTTGTTCATCCCACTTCCTGCAGGTTAAGTCTGAATAGGTAGAAAGCCAAGACTGACACTGGAAACGTCAGGCACATAGAGCCAGGGTTAATGTGTTGCTGGTGTTATGCCAGAGAACACGATTGCACACTGTTGGACTGGGTTTGCATGTCCAGATTTTGGTAGCAGGGCATGGCTACAGGGGCAACTTCTGTGAGAAGCTACCAGAAGCTTCCCCCGTGCCCAGTGGAGGCAATGCCACCTCTCTCTAGGATGGACCCGCTGCTGGCCAAGGCCAAGCCTAGCAGTGATGTCTCCAACACCTCTGGGATAACATATTTAAGAAAGAAAAAAGTTAGTGCTCGGAGAAAATTGCAGGCAGAGAAGAGCGGAGTGAGAATATGTGAGAGGAACAGCTCTGCAGGCACCCAGGGCAGTGCAGAAGGAGGGGCAGGAGCTGCTCCAGGTCCTGGAGTGGAGATTCCCCTGGGATTCCTTGGTGAAGCCCATGGTGAGGCAACTCTGCCCCTGCAACCCATGGAGGGCCACAGGGGTGTGGAGATCCACCTGCAGCCCCAGGGAGGAGCCCACGCCCGAGCAGGGTGATACCCGAAGGAGGCTGTGACCCCGTGGGAAGCCTGTGACACAGGGCACAAATAAAATTACTCAGAGCCCTAGGTGCAGGAGTTGCCTGAAACGTGCCATATGGCTGAGTTCAGGGTCAAACATCAAGAGCAGATTGTCAGAATGTGGCATCTGGAGACCCCAGTGCCCAATTTCCCAGAGCTGTTCTCAATGCAGAGACTAGCACACACATCACATCACCCTCCTGCTCTTGGAGCCCTTGCCCACAGCACAGTCAGTGCCTCACTCTGGAATGTCACCTTACACTCTTTCAGACATTTACCAACAGGGAATTTCCAGTCTTGATGTGAACTGGTTGCCTTCCTCTTCTGCTAGCTGTAGACTTACAATGAGACATTCACATTTTAAATATGGTGCAATGACATCAATAGTAATAATTACTGCATGCATCAAAGCTTTGGAGATTAGCCATGGATCATGCACCTAAATGGCAAATGGTTATAATAGCTCCATACGTGAAACATCAAAGTCTGAGGAAACATTGCTCTGTTATAAAAAATACATCAGAATGATCATTCCACTCCAAGCAAAATGCAGAACTGTAGACGTGCATGGAACAAATGCAACACATTTCATACTCATTTGGGTGTTTCCAGTATGGGAAAAATTGATTCCACAGCTCCAATTACCAATCCACATCAAGTGAAGACTGTATGGAAATGACGAGATTTTGAACAATATTAGGCTTAAGTTGACTCCTCCTTGTGAAAATGTATTTGTAATTAGGGCCTAGAAAAGCAATAAGAAGTATTTGGGGTTTTAATTTTTTATATGCTCCCTGACAGAAAGAGAAGTGGCTGAGATTGCATAAAATTCTTAAACCCATGATGTTTCAAGTATCCTTTTGCTGAATTGAAATGGGTCTCTCATAGATTAAAGGAACTGCACTGTTGTTTTCTTTGCTAGGAGAAAAGTATTCCAAGCAGAGCGAAGCACAGGCTCTCTCTGCTGAGCCTGGGGACAGCTACTGAAATAAAAAAATGCAGAATAGTCACTAGAATAACAGAACCTCTGAACTCAGCAACTGAAATTCCCAATTACAGATGTGCTGCTGTTTCTCCTGCCTCATCACAGCTGTTTTGCTTGATCACTCCCCCAGCCCCAGTGGGACGAGCAGTGTGAGGATGTGATGCCACATGTGGTCCGACAGCCAAATCAAAGGCCCAGCCAAGCTTGTGTCTCAGCCATGAATCTGGAGGAAATCAGAGATCCTCATTAAAGTTTCAGAAAAACCTAACTGGTATGAGGACAGCATTCAAAAATGTATTTGGGGGAAAACAAATATTGTTTTAACTCTATTAATAATTGATGTGTTGCCAGCAGAGATCCTCCTAGCATTAAGGGAATTGAAAATTAAAGGCACAAAGACACTACTTTAAGAAAACATCTTGATAAATAATTAATATGGCATAGGCCTACTGGAATATGAAGACTGTAGGTTTTAGCTTGTCTTGTCAAACCTATGCTTTCTAATACCACAGTTTCTTTCAGAATGAGAGCATGGTCATTTTTGGTTTATATCAACAAAAGCTTGTTTATGTTGCTTAACTGGAATAATTCACTGGCTTCTGTCAGTGGCTTGTGCTGAGCCCTTGGGATCCTACAGCAGCACATACTCAAAGGGCATGGCTTTCTTAAATCAAGATGAACAACAAATTGCTGATTATTTAGAAAACAGAAGAGACTATGCCTGTTTCAGGAAAACTACTGCTTGACAGGGTCAAACTAGATCAGAATAAGAAACCCTGCTGGAAGAAGAAACTCTGGCAATACCTGTTTAGCAATACCATTTATAAATATCTGGGAGAGATGCCTTGGGATCAGACTGTGCTGAGGGAAGTAAATATGGAATTTCTACATTTCCCTCCAAAGCAGTTGTAGCACTTCTGTGAGCAGAGCCTGCGGGAGCAGCGTTCGGAGACATGGCTGAAGGGTTTGGCTTGGTGGACAGAACCTGACAGAGAGAGACATTGCAAAGCAGAATACTGAGCACCATGTTAACTAACAGAGATGCTGCCACCTCTGAAAGCCTCTGTCTTGCTGAAGGGCCTGCGGGCTCTTTAAACTTCCTGTTTATTCCAGTCCATTCCTATCCTTTAGGCTGTTATAATGAAGCAGCTAGTAAGTCAGGCATAATTTCTGGCAGGCTTTTGAATTTAAGAAACTGCACAAGAGCATCCAGAGGACTATATTTATCATTTAATTCCTTTAAATAAAGCAAAAGTGAATACTGCTTCTTCATTAGAAGAACTTAATTCAGTACTTTAATGCAAAAGGTTTGTTGAGATTGATGGAATTCATAAACACCCTTTATTTACTACAGCAAAGTTAATAATTAAGAAGAGAGAATATACATGAATGCATGAATGCTGTTGTAAAAATAATTCCTGCCTTAGTTCCAAGGAAAAAGCCCATGTAAATTGGTGATTGAGAATATAAGGGTGTTCCACTAGAACTATTAAGGGGAGTTTTTTCCATTCTTGATAAGGTAATTGTGGTGGTGAGGCACTGGCGAGTGCAAATTACTCAGACTGCAGCCGAGTGTGTTCT